TATAAAATTTCGTATTATGTGAAATACAAATTTAAAAAAAAAAAAATTGGAAATACAGTAAAACGCTGACTCAGTCAGCATTTTTCTTGTATCCATAACAGAGAAAAACGCTGACTGAGTCAGCGTTTTACACCTAAGCATAAAACGCTGCCTCAGTCAGCGTTTTATCTGCTGGCTGAAGGCAGCAACAGCAGGCCCCCAATAGCAGCTAGTGCAGCCCCCTTCCACACCCACCACCCTCTCCACATCCCCCAACACCACCACCCTCCTCATCTACATCCTCCACCACCCTCCTCCTCCACATCCACCACCACCATCACCCTCCTCCTCCACATCCACCACCACCACCACCACTCTCCTCCTCCACATCCACCACCACCATCACCCTCCTCCTCCACATCCTCCAACACCTCCACCACCCTCCTCCTCCACATCCACCACCCATCCTCCTCCACATCCACCACCTCCACATCCACAATTTATTTTGAACGAAATGAGTCAAACATGGACAAATAAGGAATTTGAAATTCAAACAAGACATAAATTCATTCAAATAATTATTCAAATAATAATGTAATGTAAGTGTTATGTACAACAAACTAGAGAAGGTCATTACAGCAAATAAATCAGATAATTCTATCCTATTCTTTCTCATCAATTTGGTGTAACGGCTCTCTATCCTGTATGTCCACTCTCGGCCTTTGACGACGGCTGTAGTGACGGACCGTGGTAAATGGGTTCGGGCGTACTGGCGAAGTCAGCTGGCTGGAAGATGGGTCATCAGGATGACGTAGGGGCGCGGAACTGCGAATGTCGTACTCCTCTGCGCCCGTGAATGACGAAGGATCACCCCCACAGCTACTCTGGCCAGCCTTGAACTGTGAGTGACTAGAGTGGCCGCCATGATTGTCCCGGGGGTGGACGAGATAGGCGTGACCATATCTCTGCAAGGTAGCCATGCCCATATCTCGCACCCGCTCGACCTGTGCTCTGGGCGGCTCAGGTATGCCTGGAAGGACGTCCGACAGTGCGTCAACCATCGCCGTCATATCCAACGCCTGCAATAATTAAGGATTTGTTAGTTGAATGATATACAATTTTAAAATTGATAAAAATAAGTTAATCAAATACACTTACATATCCCCTGATCACGTCAAAGGATGGATGGTAATGTGCGGATGGCGGTGTGTAGCTGGGGTTGATGAAACGACGTGTAATCCGCATGTACCACTCCATGTATGGATCGTATGGATCCATAACGCCGTGGATGGGGTCACCAGTGACGACGAACTCCAACCGTCGATGCCACAAGTCAATGTACTGGGCATGCTCCGTCCGCCAGTTCCTGTCGCTTTTTCCCCGACGGTCAATGCGGTGCAGCCGGGCACTAGTGTCACACTGCTGGTGGACAGTCTGTCGTAGTCCAAACTGTCGCATGACTCGATCTGGTAGGTGACCCTCGACGACCTCAAAACAGATCAGGGGGACCCTAGAACGCCACTGCGCCTGATGATCTAGCAGATGTGGAGGCATGGCAGCAACTAAATCAGCTTCATACGGGTCCCATGTCATCTGCGATAACACATAAAAAGTAACATAATAAACAGGTTAGTGCATATTAAATATGTTAAGAGTATACATAATAAATAACAATTTCATAAACAAATTAAAGATTTCACCTGATCCTCGGTCAGTCGATCAAGGGCGTCTCGGTAGTACGGCAGGCCCCTCGCCGCATGCGCATATGTCAGCTTGGGGACCGCCCATCTGCAAGCGTACGCCTCGTCAGCGGAAGGCCGTGGTGGAGGAATGTACCGCTCATACTGCTGGTCCTGATCCTGCTGCCCCTGACGATGTATAGCAGGCCTACCTGGATACATGGATGTGCTCCCAAGACCAATACTGGTCATCAAACACACAAAACTAGGTTAATTGTAAACTAAGTAAGAACTTTCCAAATTAAATTGTTAACAGATAGGTAGGTTATCTGAAGCAAAAATAACGGTCCACTGATCTCACGAGAACCCCGATGGGATGCTCTACACAGATGGCGATACAACATCGCCAAACAAGCACTGCCCCAGCTGTAGCCACGAATATGCTCCCAGTCGTGGTCTACCAGCTGCAGGTAAATGATTTGTAAATGGCTGCCACTCTTGCCACCGAACAACACACCCGAGATGAGCAGAAAAAGGTACGCTCGAGCATGTCTCGCAATAGTGGCCTCATCAGCACCATCAGGCAACACACGAAAAGTGTCGCGTATCCAGCCGGTCCTCAATCCGCCGCCCCTGATATCGTCCGGTCCTGACTGAACCCCGAGAACCTGAGCTACATAACCGGGGGGATCGGCCAACGCAGATCCAGACACCGGACTCCCATGAATGGGAAGCCGTGTGAGTATCGCCACGTCTCGCAACGTCACGGTCGCCTCCCCAACAGGTAGATGGAAGGAGTGCGTCTCCTGCCTCCATCTCTCCACAAGCGCTGGGTCGACCTCTCTGAACGCCATCTGATGTATACCCATGAAGCCAGCGTACTCCACGAAAGGCAGAATGCGGGGATCGATAACCCAATCGCCAAGGAACGCAACAGTGTAGTGCATGCATGTCAGTATGCCCGCCGGATCAACCGACTGACTCCAAATGTCAACGCTAAGATGTGTGTCCTGTAGTGTAAGGACAGAAGGGTCGGTGGGTCGGGGTGTCCTATCTCGGGTGTCCATGGTTCACATTACAACCACAACAAAGTACACAACGAACATAGTCACACTATTACAACCAACATATTCTACATAACAAAATTTTCGTAATTAAACAACAATGTAGGCTACTTTGTCAAACTAAAACAACAATTTCATCAACATTATCAACAATTTCATCAACATTTTCAACAATTTTATCAAACATTTCCACAATTTCATCGTAAACTTTCTTATTAAACTAACATCAATTTAGGGCTTTTATACTAGACAATTATCAAATTACAACAAACCAACTTAGAATTATCAACATAATTGTCAATTTACATCAAACTAACTTAGAATAAACAACAACATTATCAAATTAAAACAATGTAGTATATAATTATCAAACTAACCTAGGTTTTTAAATTTTAAAAACAAATAAGTGAGAAGTACTAACAATGTGATTATAAAGAAGAGGAGAGGCGCGGCGACAGCAGGCAATAGGCGGCGGCGACGGCGGCAGGCAGCAGGCGGCGGCGGCGACGGTAGAGCTTTGAGGAAGATAGGCTATTGCGTGAGGAAGAGTGAGTTTGAGTTTTTAGTTTTAAGGAAGAGTGAGTGCGCGAAAAATATACCAGGCAAAACCGCTGACTCAATCAGCGTTTTAAGGGCTGTTACAGCCTAAGACAAAAACGCTGACTGAGGCAGCGTTTTTATGTATTTCCATATTTTTTTTAAAAAAAAATTTGTATTTCACTAAATAAGAAATTTTTTTAAAAATAATAACAGAGGTAAAACGCTGACCGAGACAACGTTTTACCTCAGAAGCTCAATTCCGTAAATAGTTTGGCCACGCGTCTATATTCGTAAATAGTTTGCTAATAGGGCTCAGTTTCGTAAAAAATCCTGATAAATTTGGGAAGTTTATCGAGCGGTAATAATGTAAAATGTTTTGGATTTTGCGAATTGTGAATAAACAACTCAACTGCTATTTGTCGCTCCCAATTTACCAGGTAACGCTCCCTTTTTGACTTGAATGGACCACTATGCCCTTTATGCAATTTGTGTTATAAAATGGACCTTGTTCCCCATTTGGGCACAATACATGAAACGGTCCCCTCACTTCACGACATTGCTGTCCCGAGCCTCCCAAAATCGGTCCCCACGACCTTGCAACCAAATCGGTCCCCACGACCACCTAAATTTTCTATTTTTAAAAATCGTGAAATTTTCCGACGGGTCTTGGGTCATGGACGGCGAGTGGAACATACGTACACCGGAGAATGCGTCGGATCATTCTGTAAGTTTTTTTTTTTCGGTAATTAGGACATCCGCCTAAAATTTCCGGATGTCCTAGGTACATCCGCCTAAAATTTTTGGATGTACCATGGAACATCCGGAAATTTCAAGCGGAAGATGGGATCCGCCTAAAAAATCCGGATGTTCCATGGTACATCCGGAAATTTGAGGCGGATGTACCAAGGGACATCCGGAAATTTTAGGCGGATGTCCCTATTCAAAATTTTTTTTTTAAAAATTTTAAGTACGTTTATTTAATTTTTTTATGTTTATTAAGTTTTTTTTTATGTATTTTTTTTCGTGGTCTTGTGATTATTGTGATTTAGTATTTTATAATTAATGTAATTTTGTTTTATTAATATGATTATTAGTATTATGTTTATTTTTTGTTTCATTATTTATATTATTATTATAATTATTGAAAATATTAATATTATTATTATTATTATTATTATTTTTATTGTGATTATTATTATTATTATTATTATTATTATTATTATTATTATTATTATTATTATTATCGTAGTTGTTGTTGTTGTTGTTGATATTATTGTTGTTGTTGTAGTTGATATTATTATTGTTGTTGTTGTAGTTGATATTATTATTGTTGTTGTTGTAGTTGATATTATTATTGTTGCTGTTTCTTTTATTGTTGTTGTTGTTGATATTGTTATTATTAATTAGTAGAAATAATAATTTTAATATTATTATTATTATTATTGTTATTATTATTATTATTTATTTATTAATTAATGTTATGGTCTTATAAATTGTTTTGTAGTTGTTGTTATAATTTTTTATTATCATTAATATTGTTATTGTTTTGTATTTGTTGTTATTATTATTAGTATTGTTATTAGTATTGTTATTATTATTATTATTATTATTATTATTATTATTATTATTAGTATTGTTTTTATTATTTTTATTATTTTTATTATAATTATTATTATTATTATTGTTTTTATTATTATTATTTTGACATAAAGCATGTTTTGTTTAATTTGTATAGGATATGGAATCTGAGGAAGGCGGTGACGGTGTGAATTATAGTGGGAATTTTGTCACCGATACGTTTTTTTCCTACATTTGACGATGTTGTTACATGGGCTGATGGTGTTTCCATAAAATTGGGATTTATATTGGTGAAATCGTCTTATAACAAAACCAGAGATGGTCGGCCGTATCGGTATTTGCGATGTGATCGGTCACGAAGGAGCAAGCCGAGAGATTTGGAGAACGCGATACGGAAGGACACCAAAACCAAAGCTAATGGTTTTCCATTCTACATCAAGATATATTATGATGTCAGCATCGAAAGTTGGAAGATCATTGCGAAAAATGATCACACCGGGACACATAACCACCCAACGATTGTGTACCCAGAGGGTCACCGTAAAGTGAGCGGATTGAGTCCGGGTGCAAAACAGGTTGTGCGGGACATGACAAAGTCCAAGGTTGCTCCCCGTAACATCATGTCCACTATTACCGAGCAATTTCCTGATGATCATCCAAACATCCGACACATTTACAATTGCCGAAATGACTTCAGGATGGAGATGTCCGAAGGAAGAGGAGTTGTTCAGCAATTTCTTCATCTGGCGAGAGAGAGTAAATACATTTACTGGTTCACGAACGATGATCACAACGTTTTGCAACATGCATTTATGGTGCACCCGATCATGGTCAACATACTCCGCACATACCCACATGTCATAGGTATGGATTCTACTTACAAGACCAATCTATATAACATGCCTTTCTTTGAGATAGTAGGCGTGACACCGACAAACCAAAATTTTCTAGTTGGATATGTTTTCATGCGCGACGAGTGCACGGCTAGCTATCGGTGGGTGTTGCAGAGATTAAGGGAGTTGATTGGGTTTGATAAAGAGCCATCTGTATTTATTTCAGACCGTGATCTTGGGCTATGTGCGGCTTTGAGAGAAGTCTTTCCAAGGACGTCACATTTACTCTATCTATGGCACATCAACAGAGATGTGGAGGCTAAGGTGACGAAGATGTTTGGAAACAAGATGGTTGGTGTCAGTTTTAGAGCTGGGAGATGGTTCAAAATCGTGAATGCAACAACACAGGGGGAGTATGATCGTGCTCTAACTGCCATGCAAGTGAGGTGGGGAAAATATCCGGAAGTGATTCAGTATGTTCAGAGAACTTGGCTTTGTCATAAGGAGAAATTTGTGAAATTTTGGACGAACTAGGTTCTTCATTTTGGTAATACCACCAACTGCAGAGTTGAGAGCCAACATTCAGCAGTGAAAACTTGGTTAGAATCATCTACAGGTTAGTTGTATTATTTTATTAGTTGTTCTCGTTGTTACGTAATTGTAATTGTATTAAATGTAATTGTATTTGAATTTACTAATTAGAATCATTGGCAGGTGCTTTGGATACCGTATGGGCCCGAGTCCATTGTCATATCGGTAATCGCATCACACAAATTCGTAATGACTTGGAGGCATCAAGGTCTAAAATTGGTCAGATGTACAGACAGTTGCCACTGTCACGTATAAATGGCAAAGTGTCTCAACATTGCTTGAAAGTTCTGGATAACGAGACGAAAAGGATGCGGGATTTGAGTTACCAGGTCCATGAACGGTTTGGATGTGCTATGCGTCTGACCCATGGTTTTCCATGTGCTTGCCAGATACATGATTCGATAGTTGCACAGACAGGATTGTATAGCAGCCAAATTCATTCTTTCTGGAAGATACTTGTTATTGGTGATGGTGTTAACATTCCTGAAGTGGTAAATGATTCGACCGAGGAGGCTGCACATTTTCGGTCCCTAATCGACGAAGTCATGGAAAGTGACCCGGCCGTATGTCGAAATGTAACGCGAATCATTGAAGAGGAGCTACATCCAGATCATTCACACCTTGAAGAACCACATATCAACCTTAACACTCGTGGTCGACCGAAAAGAAATAACACCAGGCGTGATCGTAGCTATTTCGAGCATGTGAACCGTCAACACACTCAACGTGGTGGTGACCCAGAACCAGGTAATACTAAAATTCTATATTTAATATAAAAATATGTAAACTTAATACTTGTAGCTTTACTAATAATTTATCTTTTAATTTTGTGTTGTAGATCCAAGTGACATTAGTCAATGCAGGTATTTGAACTTGCTTCCAGCCCCAATGTTGCCGTACATTTCGTCTTGGAAGGATGTCATTGGTGATGGGAACTGTGGCTTTCGTTGTGTCGCCGACTTCTTCTTTGGCGATCAAAATAAGTGGTTTGACGCTCGGGAAACAATAGCGAACGAGGTCGCTGGTCATCCTGATTTGTACGAACGGATTTACGGGCTTGGGCGACTTTGGATGAACGTGGAGCGTATTCGATGGGATGGTGGGGATGTCGGGGAGCGGCATTGGATGGTTACAATTCAAGATTTATTTCCTATTGCTACGTGGTTCAACGCAAGGGTGATTTGTCTCGGAGTAGGCCTAGTACCAACTTGCTACTACCCATGCATCACAGTCTTACCGCTTAGGGCACGCAACGGGGTTCGGTCACCGACTCGAGAGTTTGTGATTGCTACAGTTGGTGGATCACATTTTATCCGTCTTGACCTTGTACCTGATTCACCACTCCCGCCGATTGCCGGTTGGTGGACGAAACACCACGAGGATAGTGACAATGGATGGGACCAATCATATCAATTGAGAAGGGACATGTGGGATGCATTAGTTAGGTAGTTTGTAATGTACATTCACTAACTTTGAACATTTGTAAGAAAATTAGAATTATGAAATTAATTTTAAATGTATTTGCTTTTAATCTAACATGATATGCAACAAAACATCAAATATAAAATAAAATAAGTGTCCAGTTTATACATTACATTTAAAAAAATAAAATAAAAATAAGTTAATAACATAATTAAAACCATCACTAACAGAACATCTAATCAAAATAATCTAAAGTCCCATTTTTTACTTCCAATCAAATACAAGCTTCTCAGTCAGTGTTCGAGTCTCACTCGACATTTCAGGATACTCAGCTAGTGCTCTTTGGTGAATCTCCATGGACCGACCCATCCACTGCAAATCAAACAATAACATATTATAACACAAAAATTAATAGAAGTCATTATTAATATAATAATAAGCATTAATACTTACGTAATCAGTGTTTGTCCGCTCAGGCAGGTTGCTTGTAACTCCTGGACCTGGAGATACCCGCGGGTGAGAAAACCTGTACAGCCACTGCATGTAACCGGGCGCAACCGAAGGAGCTGCAGCACTAAGCCTGGGTAGGGCACCTAAAACAACACTCTGAGATACCCCAGGGAAAAACCTGTTCCACATCACAGCTGTCATCTCAGTCGGGAAGTCAACCCGATACATCTTCAAGTTAGTCGGCCTCTTGGCCTTTTCTGGCCTGATGATCTCGCGGGGAATGCCTTGCACGAAACCAAGCTGGCGCACCACTCTATTAGGCATGTACGGATCAATGATGTTACGGTACTGGATGCAACCAATGAATAAAGTGGGTGGCACTCGTAATGCAGGATCAGCTCCGTATGGTAGCCAGTTCACCTCACGGTCAGTAAGCGCATCAATCCTAGTACGAAAAGCTAACAGGCGCTCCAGGTTCTTGCTAGGACATCCCGCTCCTACATCCCAAGCAGACGCACGAGGCATTTGAAGGTCTCGGGTCAAGGTACCCTGCTGTGGCCGAAAGCACGGAAAGTACTCGTAAATCCACGCTTGCAAAAGCATGAGACAACCAGCAATCAAATCAGCACCTTTCTGTGATGCCGTGCCCAGTTGCCGATACAAGTAGGCCAGTGCAGCTGTTCCCCAAGCATACTCGTTAATAGGGACATCCGTGTGACATAGCTCGTGGAGGAAGGAAGGATGCGTATGGTAACCACGCTTGTCTACAAACAGTGTACCTCCAAGCACTAACCACAAATTTACATCAAGCTGCTCACTAAAATCCCGGTCAACCGCCAATGTCGACTCAAAAATCTTATCAGTCAACACCCCACTACCCTACCAAATGGTCTTTGTGCCGCAAACCTCAGACAGATCATCTGGAGTCATATCCATGGTGACCGAGCACGCGTCCCGTAACACGTCCGTGCTAGGAGTAGTGGACACCATATTGCCTGCAACCCATAACCCAAGTATGTTGTACACGTCGTGCAGCAAGATCGTAATCTCCCCAAATGGCATGTGAAAGGTGTTCGTATCTGGCTGCCACCTCTCAACAAAAGCAGAAATCAACGGCCAATCAAGTCTCTTAAACATCAGGCCGGGAAAGTGAGACAACCAACTAGCATCAATCGCCGCAATGTCCTCCACAGATTGACGACCTCGCCAAGTGAACAAGTCAGAACGTAACTTTGTCCTACTCAAACAGCGCAAAACACTACGCTCCTGATCCATCCAGATATACCGTGCCACGTGACCGCCAAAACTAGGGATAACTGACCCATCCTCAGGCCCACCCGGCATCGGTTCCTGCACTAACCATGCCTCTACAGAGCTGGAAGTAGGCTGACTCGACCCACTACCAACAAATCTCCTAAACTGACCCCTATATACCATATGGAAATCCTGAGGGTCCTGTTCTTCATCCCGGTCACCAGCATGACTAGCCAAACATTCGTCTTCCTCGTCATATATTGGTGCTCCACTTGCAGAGTACAAGGGCCGACTACTACCAGACTGTTGGTCTCTCGACCAACCACTAGTAGACCCGTATTGCTGCTGCTCGGGCTGAACCGGTGAAGATCGAGATGTCTGTCTCCTAACAAACACATTCAGACGTCGTGATATTGCATGTCGAGCACCAGAACCCTCGATCTACATAAAATAAAAAAATAATCCGATTTTAGTAATAATAATAACAATAACCATAATAACCATAATAACCATAATAACAATAACAACAATAACAACAACAACAAATACAAATTAACAACAACAAATAAACTTAACAACAACAATAACTAACAACAATAACTAACAACAATAACAACAACAACAACAACAACAACAACAACAAATACAAATTAACAACAACAACAGTAACCATAATAACAATAATAATAACACTAATATCAACAACTATAATACTAATCATAATTAAAAATATTAATAATAGTACTACTAATAACACTAATAATAATATTATTATTATAACAACAACAACAAAAAAAAAAATTAAACAACAACATGCAATAACCATAAAAACCCTAATATCAAATTAGTTTAATAATAATACTAATCATATTTTTAAAAATAATAACACTAATAATAATAATAATAATAATAACAATAATAACAATAATAATAATAATAATATCAACAATAATAATAACAATAATAATAATAATACTAACCATAACACTTCAAAATAACAACAAAAATAACAAAATCCAAAAAAAAAAAAAAACAAATTAAAAACAACAACAATAACCTTAACATTAATAATAAAAACCTAATATCATAAAAATAATAAAAATTATCATATTTTTAAAAATAATTACATTACAAAATATAATAAGCACAATAATAACAACAACAACAATAATCACCATAACACTTCAAAATAACAAAAAAAAAAACAAAATCCGAAAAAAAAGTAAAATTAACAATTTTATTAACGGGCCAAAAAAAAATAAAAAATGGAACTTCCGCCCAAAATTTCCGGATGTTCCATGGAGGATCTGGAAATTCTAGGCGGATCTTCCATGGAACTTCCGGAAATTTTGGGTGGAAGTTCCTGGGATCCGAAATTAAAAAAAAAAAATACCTTGTCTCCACCATCGTCGTCGCCGCCTCCGCCGCTGCCACCAGCGCCGCCGAAGGTCCTCCCTTCGAATCTCAGCCTAATCCGCCTCAAATCATTCATTTTCTTTTGTGTTTATGATGATTGTTGATTTTTTTAAAATGAAGAACAATTTTTGAATTTTTTTTTTTTTAAAAAAAAAATTGTTTTAGACAGTTAGAGAGTAAGAGAGTTTGAGAGTAAGAGACTTAGAGAGAGAAGTAAAGAAGTGAGAAAAATTTTGGTCGGGAAGGAAAAAACCGTATTTATATATTAGGGGTAAAATTGGAATTTCAAGAAAAAAAGGGAGTGTTACCCGGTAAAATGGGAGCGACAAATAACAACACCCATAAACAAATATTGTACGTTTCGTGTAGGTCTAGACATGACAATTCTAACCCAAACCCGATGACCCGACCCGAATAACTCAACCCATGACCCGAAAACAATAACTCGAAATTGACCTGAAACCCGAAATTAACCCAACCCGAAATTAACCGGAACCGATGTGGAGTTGACCCGACCTTGACCCGAAACCCGAAGTTGACCCGACCCGATTATACCAGACCCAAAGTTGACCCGATACTCAAATTGACCCGACCCGAAATTGACCCTATACTCAAAATGACCCGACCCAAAGTGACCCGACCTGAATTTGACCCGACCCGAATTTTACCCAATACCCGAAATGACCCGACCCGAATTTAACATATCCGAAATGACCTGACCCTAATCGACCTGATAACCGAATCGACCTGGCCTGAATTTAACCTGAATTAATTGGCTGGAACATACGCAAAACCTAAACTAACCTGAACTAAAACTACCTTATACGCAAAATGACCTAAATCTATTTAAGCTTGTACTACGTGTGTGACCCGAACTAAAACTACCTTATACGCAAAATGAGCTTGTCACATTGAATAGTTTGTTAAGGTTCAACTATTTTATTTGTATACTCCTTGATAATTACAAAATATATGTCAAAGTTTTGCACGCATCTGCATCATTGCATAAATGTCCAATGAAAATGGAGTACGTAAATAAAAACAAAGGGAGTATTATAGATAATAATAAAAATTGTTAGTGGGTTAGGTATGAAACTAGTTCTTAGGTGATTGGGTATGGTCTCCTTCCTTTCTCTTTTTCTTGTTGCGTTGCTAAAGCGAGTACATAAGTTCTCAAAAACTCAACACATTGGGGAACGTGTTGTTGCTCACATCATCATTAGGATTGATTTTGATGTAGCTAGAGGAGTAGGGGATGTTATTGTATCTTGGCTTCCCAGTAATTGTTTGTAGGTTGTATGACTTTTTCTATTTTTGTTATGTAATAATAATAATAATTAATGTTATAATAATCTTATAATAATGATGACAACCATAACAATGATATTAACACAAACAACTATAATTCCTGTAAAAAAATTAATAATTAATCCGTATAAAAATTACAAATCTACTATTTTAAGCTTAATTGCTTGACTCAAAATATCGACCAGAAATGAACTAACACAAAGTCGACCCGACCCGAACTTGACCAGACCCGAACTTGTCCTGACCCAAACTTGACCCGATACATGGACTCAAAGACTGACCCAACTCGAAATGACCCGACCCGAAGTTAACCTGAAGTATTGACCCGATATCAGACCAGACTCGATAATATATTGACCCAAACTTGACCCAAAGCTCGAAATGACATGACCCGACCCGACCCAAACATTTGCTGACCCGAATTTGACTAGACCCAGAATGACCCGTTTGCCAGGTCTAGGTAGGTCTACTCAAAAAGGGAACTTAACGAAGTAAGTTAGGACAAGAAGTAAATATATTGTATAATTGTATAACGTCATCACTCCCGTTAGATAGCTAACTCACCGGATCACCCAAGCTTACTTGGGTAAATTTTATGT